GGAAGAAAGACGAGGGCGAACAGAAAGTGAAGAGAATGTGGAAAGAAGTGAAGAGGGGAAAATGCTGTGGTAAATTGTAAAAATTTGAAGAAAGGAAAACATTGTGGTTACTAGAGAAGAAAGAATAAAAATTAAAAATTTTAAGGCAAATCAGCTATGAATAACGAACGAGTTAGAAGACATACGGAGACAGAGATGGTATAGATTAGTGAAAACATGGTCAAGAAGGAGAGTGTGTGTACGGCAAATAAGGTTCCCGTAAATCAACTTGAATGATCAGATTGGAAGGAATTCAACATCCGATTGGATGATAGTAATCCGTGTGTAACTCGTTCCGTAGCAGAATTGCAACAAAACTAGTAGTGTTACGATAGCATATAAGTTGTGGTAAAATTGGTTACGTTTAACTCATAAAATGTTCTACCTTCAATTATACTAGACACTTCCATCATTACTTAAAAATCTCAAACATCATAACAAAAATTTACGTGTGCTGTGAACTACTTCGAAGTGCGCTCGTTGGAAGTAAATCCACTTAACCGTTTAGGCGCCAGTGTTGTTTACTGATAGATGAGTAGATAGACGGACAACCACAAGATTTTTAGAGAAAAACGAAAAAAGGATAAAAAATAACGCTGAACTATTGAGGCAACGTCTTTGAGAAGGAATGAGGGTTTGAAATGATTTTTTTCTCATAATGAATTCGGTGTGAAATAGGGCTATCTAGAACAGAGTTGTCAAACTGACGGTGTCATATTGTGTTCCGCGAAAGGTTATTAGTGAAAAGTGAAAGTCGCGCGAGAAGAGTGCACCTAAGCGCACATTGCACACCAACTGCACTTTGCTCTAAATTTGGGTTAAATTTAGTTTTGATAATTTTTTCTAGTAAATTGAGAAACTCAAAATCATTCTAATGTGTATCACTACCGTTAGGCATGATATTTTTGCCTGCTATGTTTGACCCTGATATTCACGAATGGTCCCTCACCCACCCCCCCAACTCAGGAAAACTGCCCCGTGATCAAAACAATATGGAGTCGTCCAGGTGTGGTCGGACTCCTAATATGGTAAATGATGGCGCCGCAACATGAAAATGTAATTTAGTCGTGGTCCTTGAGGCTTGCAAGTTGGACACCGCTGATCGAGAGCGAATCCCTCTCTGTGAATGGGGCGGCGGCAGCAGCGTTGTGCGAACGCTCGTTTAGCTCCCTGGTCGCGTGTTGCCGGTCGCCGCGTCAACTAAATCGCCTGTCACCAGTACGCTGTCGCCAATCGCCGGACGCACTGTTCGTCCGTCGCCGTGCTGTCGTCGCTCGCCGGTCGCCTGTCGCCGATTGTCGGTCGGCGGTCGCCGATCACCCGACGCCCGTTGCCCGTTTCCTGTTGCCTGTTGCCCGTGCCCATCGCCGGTTGCCCGCCGCCCGTTGCCCGTGCCCATCACCGGTCGACGGCGCCGGTCGATGGCTGCTCGCATACTCATTCCCGCAGCCTCGCCTCCGCATTCGCCTGTACCCAATATATAAGTATCGACGCTTGCTTCGCCGAGAATTATGGACTCAAGGTGTGGGAGGCGCCTGCTAGTGGCGGGTCGCGAAAACGCGAAAAGACGGAAGAAACGCGAGAGCCCTGGAGGAGGGCCGCTCCAGAAGAAAGGAAGAGGCGAGGAGTAAAAGAAAGGAAAAGAACGAGGAGAAAAGAAAAAAAAAAAAAGATTACGAAAAGAAATCTTCCCCTTTCACTCGATATCTTAGCCTCGGAAAAAGAAATATATATCAGGCGATAAGGAAAGGGAAGGTTACGGAGAAGGCGGTCGTGGCGCGAGGGAGGGTGTCGGATTCCCCGACGCGGGGCCGAGGGTTTGGGTGCGATCTGCGGGGGCGGGAGGGGTCGGACCGAGAGGAACACAATACACCGGAGAGGTTGCCTGCCCGTCTCCCCCCACAAACGGAGTTGTCCCTCCGCGGCGCGCTCTGGCCGCCCCCGGCCGGCGCCTGCGCGTCCCTCGGATGCTGCCCGATGATCTGCCCTGGGAAACGCAACTGTTTGGACAGCCCCCCCCCCTCCTTTGTCGCCACTGACCTGAGGCAGCGCTTCGTTTTCCCTCCCTTGTCGGTCTTCGGGTTTTGGGCGGGGAGGTACTAGCGATCGAGTACTGTGGCGGAGGTGGGTTTTACGAGGGTTTTACGTATGTACGAAACATTAAGAAGTACGTAGAAGTGTACGAAAGTGTACGTAGAAGTACACGAATATTTAATACACATATTTTGAAAATTATTATTATATTGTATAATTTTCTATTGATTTCACACTTGCATTTTTGCAACGAGAGGTACCTAATGTCATTTCGCGATATATTTCATTTCTATCAGACAGTTTTTTTTCACAGCAATGTGTATCTAGCTTCTGTATGTTGTCTCCCGTTCTGTATTGGAAATGTTGGCGTATAAAGTCACTCCCCCTGTCGTGGAAACATTAAACACTTAGATTAAATTTTTGTTTCATGATTTCTGTGTTGCCGGCAACTCGGGTTGGGGGTGAGGGGCGTGTGTGGTGTGAACCCGGCCAGTGCTGTCAACGTCCCCACGCCCTCGAAGGGGATCGTCCTGAAGCGGGGCGGAGACTTGCAACGCGAAGGAGGAAGCCGACGGTTGTAGGGTGGGTGGTGCGCTGGCGGCGGTCCATTGAAATCGAGACGTTGAATATTAGCTCGCGGGCGGCGCCAGGGGCTGCTTGAACGCGCGCTCAAGTGACGCGTGTATTCCTATGGGGCTGGCTACAAGGGAGGTAGTACGGTTGGGAATAAGGTGTTGGTTATAACCAAAAACTTTTTTATTTACTACTTACTTTGTACAGAGAAAGTATTGAAATGCTTGCGGAGAAAAACGGCGAATTTTCGACAGGAAAAGTAGTATTGGGGGGCCCTGATATTGAAAATATTGATGAATATTTTCCAATATATTGTAAATTACTTTTTCTATTACCATGTATAGTCAGAATCCACCAATTTGTGTTACCTTAATACCAAAACATTAGGTTATGCAAAATCTCTGGTTGTCTGTGAACAATGCTACCGGCTAAACCGTTGGCAGGACAAGTGCTTCAAATGATAAGTTTGAGTACAAAATAAAACGTTTTCATAAACGCACAAACGACATTATCTAAAAATACGCTTCAAATGTTTCAATGAAAATATGCTTATAGGAACAGGTGTTAAGTGTTCTATAATATTAGTAAATTCATATCGCAATTCTAGATTGAAAAAATGAGAAAATGTGAAACAAATAGGCGCCGATAGATAGCAGCTGGAAAGAGTGCTCGGACAAAACGTACACATTAGTCCAGAGAAAATGTGAGAAGAGATTGAAAACTAACTAGTACGATAAAGACTGTGCCATTCTTTGTGACCAGTAGTTTTGTTTCGGTTCATCGGTGGTGCACCAGTTATTTTGCCCCAGTCACGATGGGGTTTTTATACAATGATTGGGAAAAACTGTTTTTGAAAAAGTTGAGATATTGGATTTTGGATTGATGGCGTTTTTGCATGAGATTAAAGTGGTAACATTGTGTTAAGTATCAAAGGCTGTGACATTGGGCGTTTTAATGCTTAATATCCTAAGCATTTTACTGTTGAATCACGTGTTAATCGAAATATGTTACATATGTGTAAAATTGAACTCTTGCTGTATGTCATACTATTTGTATAAGTCTCGTATTTAAGGTAGTATTACTGCGTTAACAACGTAAACCTATTTGCAAAAACACTTTTTGCGAAGAAAACTGATTATTTTATCAACAGGTTATTTTGAGAAGTTACAAGCGCATGGTTAAACCAAAAGTCTTATTAAAAAACCGTATTTTTCTAGCATTTAGACAATGTATTTTTAGACCTACCTGTATCAAGAATATCTTCACTATCTTTTTGGAGGGTTTGAGAGGTACATTGTGTTCATTTGCAAGTCATTCTCTTTGTGCAGTGTTATTTTGTTTTCTCTGAAAATACACTTCTGTTTCATTCACTGTTTCTTTTACTACTATGAGAAAAAGTTTTCAAAAAAAAATTTTTTTTAAATTATTAAGAACACGAATGTCGGTAGAAACTGTTCGTGGTGAATGATGATTATTTTCAGTAATTACAGAATATTTAATGCATCAAAGAAATCAAAATTTTTTAGACAGGATAAATAACAATTCTTGCACAAAGATAGGTGTTGAATTGTAAATGCCACTTCACTGATTTCGAATGTGTATGAACATTTTTATTTCTTTGTGATTTCCGTGCTATCAGGACATTATGAACGTAATCCAAAGGACAACATTTGCAAAGTAATTGAAAGGGAGCCGGGCGGTGCAAGTTGAAATATCCCATGGTCTCGTGTGCCGAAGGCGAGCGAGCTGCCTAAAGCGGACCTCAGGGGCCCGTGCCGCGCGGGGGCTGGACCAGGGGACCGTGAGCGCTCGTTTGCGGCTCGCCCGGCACTCGCGTCGCCCGCAGGCGGCGGCAGATGCGAGGGCGGAGCGGAGGCGGGGTCAGCGGCGGAGCGAGGCGCAATGTATGTCAGATAGGATGTGACGTGCTGGGCAGAATGGGGAATGGGTTAAATGAGAAATGAAGGAGCGAAGAGGGCAGGGAAGTGATGGGCCGAGATGAAGAGGTGCTAGCTGATGAAAGTCGAAGGACAGTGAGAGTGGAATAGCATGTGAGAGAGTGAGCAGGTGGGCGCGAAATGAAAGTCACAGAACAGGCGAGTGCAGGTGGTGTTGCATGGGGGGGGGGCATGCGGAAGGCTAGGGAAATGGAAGGAAAGGGAAGTTAGAAGAGAAGTGAACGGGTGGCCTCGAAACAAAAGGAAGAGAGGGGGCCGAGTGGTCAGGGGCAAGCTGACCTGGGGGGGGGCAGGGGGCGGCAGCGTTGCCGCGGGTCCGGGTGTTGAAGCGCGGCCAGGGCAAATATCATTAAGCAGGTGAGCGACAACGCTGCAGCGCCATTGCGGTGCGCCCGTATGCTTTTGCGGTGCCGGACACTCGCGGCGCTGCGGCACGCAGAGGGAGTAGGCGGGACGGTTGGGCGCGGGGCGGGGCGGGGCGGCACGGCGGGGAAGCTGGCGTAGGCGGGGGAGGGGTATGACGGTTCGTGACGCGAGCAGGCGGGGGAAGGCGTGCGCGGCTGGGGCTGTGTGCTGGTGTGGCTGTGTACCGTGCGCTGCGTGCGTTGGCGTGGCGGGGCGGGACAGACATTTCTGGCGAACAGCGACACCTCAACCGCTGGCCTCGCCACCACTGGCGTTGCAGTGCCAGAGCCCCCTCGTGGGAAGCCACCATCGGTTGTGGACGTAGATTTATTGCGATTCGTTGCTGACACCAAATAAAATTGTATCTTTAGTGGATACATGCGAGTATACAAAATAGTATTCCGATGTCGTTTTGTATGTTTCGAGACAAGACCAGTTTTTTATACTATTCGAACCATATTTGCAGTAGAAGTCGGGAATATCTCAATATAATGAATCTAGTTAAAATAAAATGATATCTGCTAATAAACGATGATGTATTAAGAGATTTATGTTCCTCTATTTCAATGTGAAACCCATAGTATATCTCAAAGTTCTGAAAATTATGCTCTATTGGCTGTTGCATTCCTTTCTTCACCACCATTGTGCCTGTTACAAAACTTTTAATGCAGCATACAACCGTAGTGTTCTTTGGTCTTTCTGTTATGTGGAACTCATTTACCACGTTCACACACTGAACACATTCAAACGCACTTTGCGAAGTATTAGCCCGTGTAGCACACTGCTCCGAGCAGCGGTCACTCTTTCACACATACCGCTTCAACTTTCGCGCCGTGGCGCCCCCTACCAACGCTTCCAAGCTGCATAGCGGCCTCGCGTGGTGTGCGCGCCACTCTGTGCCACAGGCGTCGGTGTCGCTCCACCACAAACCAGCCCGCCCCCACTTCTACCCTCCCCGCCTCCCACGCGGACTGGCCCGGCCGTAACGCTACCTTGGTGTGCGATTCCCCGAGAATTCCTCACTGCCCCGAAAATGGGAGTTAATTAAATTAGGAGTGGCGCTTTCTGCACCCGCCGGGACGTCCTCCTCGCTCTTCTCCCGCCCCGTTCCCTCGCCCCTCGCTTCGGCGGCGAGTTGTTTGCCGAGTCTGACCTTGTTAGTTGCGGCCGACGAGCGGAGGCGGGGACAGGAGTGAAATGTATGTAATGATGTCATTGTTTGCGCGTTTGTAAGGCTCCGAACGATTGTGGAGAGAAGAGTATGTGTGGTATGTTGACTGCGTGTTTCCTGACACATTTCTGATGGACAGTTACTTGTTCCACGAAATTCGTAGGCTTTTACAGTGAAGCTTCGAGGAAATATGTTTTTATTTTTCTTCATATCTCACGCTATTTTGTCATTATAAGATAAAGTTTCTGGCACGAAAAAAATTGAAAAGAGTGTATTTATAAACTTGTAAGTATAATGTTTTAAATGGTACTACGTCATTAATAACCCAATTGTATTTGAATGTGTCATTTCGCATTACAATAAAACACAAAAACATTCTAAAAATCTTTGAATTAACATCTTTAGTACATGGAATCGGGAATCGAATTATGTGGTTAGGACGCTTGATCAATAAATAACTTTTGGTCGATTGACTTCTTTGATTAGTCTTGAAATGGAAACCACGTGGTACAATTTCCACGTTAGTGGGAGCCGGCAGCCGCGAAGTATGTGTGAGGATGTTGGATGCCCGCATTAGCTGGCGGGAGACCGCGAAGAGAAATCAGGGCCAGTTCCACAAGGGGGGGGGAGAGGTAAATGAATGGACGCCTTATGTGGAGGAACACGCGTGGCTTGTCGGGCCAGGCGATGGCGTAGAGGAAGACACATTTTTCTGGCGTCCGAGTCCGCGACCGGCGGACACACGTGTCTGCCTTGCGGCTCACCTTTAAGGCCACGAAAGACAAGACTTGATTAATCATTTTCTTCCCAGTACGTGAGAGAGGGAGTTTTGGGTGTTTATATGACTTTAGAAAAATATCCCCCATTAACGCTTTCTGAAGGTCGACCGTGCTCGACATGCAGCACAAACTTTTAGTCTGACAATTCGTGTCATCGTACTTTTGCGACTTCTTGCCGCTTTCTGTACTTTGTATTGATGTTCTTTTGCTCGAACGCACTAAACATCCCTTAGAGCGTAGGGAAAGCGATGGCGTTTTGGTCAATATACTTTTTTCAAGAAGGAACAAAACTTTAAGTTAAGTATAATAATGTAAAGTATTGTATAACTCATTTTCTCCTGATTACAATTTTATTCCTCTGTTCCCTTACCAAACTAAACTGTGATAGTACCTACTAAGCAAAGAAATTAGAAAAAGTCAGCCGTAAACCTGGCTAACCGTTGCGATCACACCGATGAGCGTTCCCAAGCAGCTGTAAAACATCTACTAACGCTAAGTTATGATGTCACAACCACGACACCGGGTTTTCGACGAAAATTAATTTTTTTGGTATTTTAAATTAATATACATCATTTTTCAAAAACTCAATGGAAAAACGGTTTTCACAAAACGTCGTACGTGTTCTTCGGCTAGACATTTACGCTATTTAAAAGAGTGTCAACTTCCCTATTGCATTTCACTTCGTTTATTCTCAATGCTACTCTCGTAAGGGCACGAAACGTGGGTTTTAAGGGGCCGAACACATCGATTGTAAAGTATGCTCGATAGCAACCTGACGCGTGTCGCGGGTTACTTGTGAATATGAATGTCTATCCTGACGAAAACTGATTGAAAGTGTACGATCATTTAAAAAATAATGACAGTGAATGCCAGTGTCTTTGAAGATATTTTTCTTGTGCTTCCTTTCCAGAATTACGAATTACGAATTACATGTCTTTTCTGGCTTCCCCATCTTGTCATTAGTCGATTAGCATTTCGTCGTCCGGAATGTCACAGAATCTTTATGGGGATTGTTGCTGGAGTTATACGCATTAAAAGTCCTTGCATCTTCTTTCGTATTTGGTTGAAATTTCTGTTATTGGTTTGCACTCATTATTCTCGCCGTATTTTGTTATTTCCAATGTAGTGCCACCTTTTCCTGATCTAAAAACTTTAATTTCATCTACTGTACAGTATACATACAACGTTTTCAAGATACGATGTGTTTTCCATTCTCCACTCTACAGATTACATCGCACTCTTCCACGTTGCTCTGCGGTACGACCGTCTTCACGTTACTCTTCGCTCATCGAGACAGATCATCGATCCTCGACTTACGACAACGAGTCGCTCCCGCCCGCGTCGGAAATGAAAGCAAGACCCACTCGCGCGCGGGATTTAAAATTCATAACAGTATTCGTATCTTTTCAAAAAGTCCCCGTCTGGCAGAGTATGACGCGAAAGCCTCTCCAATTTATTACGAGGTCCGCGGGCCTCTTCGAGACACCCGCTGTCATATCTGGGCCTAAGTAAGATGAACATAGTGCGTGTGTAGGTCCGGAGAGGGTGCGTAAGCCGGGAGAAGGGCGGAGGGGATATATATAGAGCGGAAAAGGAGGAAGGAATGAAAGAAAAAAGGCCTTATAAATCAGACGCAAGGGACGAGAGGATTAGGTCGCGATGAAAAATCTTCGCGGCGTTCCTTTTTTTTCGTTCCCTTTCTTTCCCTCCAGGTGGCCATGCAATACAGTGATCGTGTTTAGGGCGTAGCTTGGATCATAGCAATGGTGGGTGTACTCCTTGAACACCTGGTTCTCCTTGGGAAAGGATGTGATCCTCTGGTGGATCTCGCATTCGTGAGACAAATGATATAAAAAATGTCTAGAGTGTTGTTTAACTTTATATTTTGAATGTGTTTCTCTGAAAACTGGAATTCTCGTTTCCACTCGTGGTTAAATTAACGTGTAATGATAAATTGATATTTAAAAACTTCAAATCACCGGATTGTTTGGATTTATTAGTGCTGTATCTTGACCAATATTTTTCTGTACCAAAATAAACTCGCAAAAATCGAAAGGTGTGAAGATAAATGACCAACGTTATTTTGTAAATAACTGTGGAATATTACCGAACTGTCGAAAAACAGTTTGTTCTGTTTTGTTTTTGTCTATTAACCTACGTTAATATGTCATCCAAAAATGTTTTAAATCCTCTTTCTGCTAGCATAATTAAATATTTTGCCGATACTGAACTCTCTACTTTTCAACACTTAATTTTGTGTCGTAATTTTTACCGTAAAAATGTTCTTTATTATTTTATTTTTAAATCATCACTTACAACTAGGACTCAATCTGCACATAATAAACTTAACGCTTTGTTAGCGAATACACAACATGGCTATTTAAAATTATATATATATATAATATAGTATATATATATATATATATATTATATAAGTAGTATTTATATATATATATATGTACATTAATTTTGTGTTGTGTCTGAAGTTAGGAGTGACCATGCAATTATAAAGCGATCTAAAATGTACAAAATAAAGTGAAATACTATTTTATTAATAGATTATATAACTTTATGATGTCTTTATATTTTTCCGGGAGTATGATTGATACATTTTGTATTTGATTTAATTGTAGTTTTAACTGTGTATTTGTTAAATTTCGTGTATATTCAGTATGGTTCAGTTTTTGTTAATGACAGTCCTAATGTTAGTTTTTGGTTGGATAATAAAAATATACAAAGAAGTTTTACAGCTATCGTTACAAAAAATTGAACCAAGCTGAGCCGAATTTAAACTTGGCGTTTGCCCGAGTTGTGCTTCGTCCGCCGCCGGCGCCGTGACCTAACCGCGCGCTCTCTCGTGCCGTAGGTGCGTATGGCTCCCGTGGCGCTGGCCGTGCTGCGGAGGGCTAATGCGGCCATTTGCGCGGCGCGGGCCGCGTGCGCTCAACGACTCACGCGTCGTCCCGCGCCGCCCGATTTGTCGTCGCGGCGGCCGCCGCAGCGCCGCCGCAGCCGCCGCACAGTGGTCCCAGGAGGTGGTGTGCCGCAGGGGCCAACATTCGTGGCCGTGGCGAGGTTGGGTTTTAATCCGATGAGTTTCGGACTGTTTGTGAGTGCGTCACGCGATGCAATGACCAGGTATATTAAATGTTGGATAGGTTGATTTCCTAGGACCTCCAAAATCGTAGGTGTCCCAAAAATTATAGACTACAATTTTCTATCGTATTAATTGGAGAAACGTACATTTTAATTATATTCTGGCTGTGACAATTATTTTTATAAAAGGAGAGTAGTTGGCCATCAAAGTGAAGACATCTGATTTTTGCAGAAAGAATTGCAGTTATTTGATTGATGTTCATTTACGTTAAACCGAGATTTATGGATTAAGAATACATTCTAAGGAATATTAACGTATTGTCACTTTCGTATGAGCCAAGAGAGTTCTCGTAGTGGAATGTGCACTTATCTACAATTTGTTTTGACGATATTTTTAAAAAATATATATTGGCGTAGAAAAAGTAATTGGATTATTTACTCTTTTATTGAGTTTTAGTGTGAGTTTTAAGGTTGTATATGATCTTGTAAGAGGATCTCGTGTATTGCGTGTCAGAAAAAAAATATTTTGCTTGTATTACTAAGAACAAGTAGATCGCTAAATTGTTTACTATTAATTGGCAAGAACGTTTCATTAAAGTTTAATTCCACAAACATTAGTGTTTTTTATCTAACGAAATAATATGATCTTGTCAAGTTTGGACATAGTTATCAATAGTTCTTACAGCTTGAATAGTAAAATAAATAATGACGCTAATATAATAATGTGAAATTGGATAATCACTTATATTTAAAAAAAGTATTCAAGAAAATGTTACATATCATTTACATTTTAACTGGTGTAATTTGGTACATTGGACTTACTTCACCACAGACTTTCGTCTTGTTCTTCCATTGGCTTAGAAACGTCACTCTAAGCCAACACACAGACTATAAGAGTTACTTTTATTCGTGACAGATTTTCTTTTCGAAAGGTTATGAGTGAATCCCTGGCACTGAGAACATCCTAAGAATCGAGTATTAGTTCCTTCCGGCTCGATAATTAGTTCCTTTCAATGAAGCCTTTGATCGGAGAAAATTTCTGGAGACCGACGTCTCATGTTGAGCTTTCGGGCATTTCTTCGATATTACACTCTAAAAATATTTGAAACCTAAGGATGCCTAACTCCCTAGAAGTAAAGAAAAGAACGGAAAGAAAAGTAAACCTTTGAAGCAAAATTATACCCATTTATTGCATGTAAATTGTTTCCATCTGTTCGTCACAGTAAGCAGTTGAATAGAATGGTGAGAGTATTAATTTGCCAAGGGACGTTTGTTCAATGAGACGGCAATAACAACATTTTTTTAAAATCTAATGTCAAACATGAATCATTAGGAGGATGATTTTTATGCCCAAATAATCTTCAAATATGCTTTAAAAGAATGCATTTATAACCTAAAAAGTTTGAATTATGCAATTCAATATGCAAACAAAATAAACAATAATTTTCTCTAAAAACCTCTTTTGATAAAATTAAGGAGAAGCATGCTCGGAACGAAAATTTATATTTTTGTGCAAAAATAATAAAAACTAGCCTTCTTCGTGAGATAAATAATTGAAGTAAATATTCACTTTACTGACGTTCATTGTATATTTTGTTGTATTTTTTCTGACTGGTTTAAAAATATGTTATCAAGAAATAATGTTTATTTGTATACAACAAACACACACACACACACACACACACACACACACACACACATATATATATACCCTCATTTTGATCTGTTTTACAATGTCCATATGAACACCCTGTACAATGATGATTTGGTAAGGAGCGGATTTCTATGATTTGACATATTTTTTGTCTGTTACTTCAGCGTAGCTAAGATAACTTTTTGACTTTTGGTTAGAATATTCTTTATAGAGATAATTATATTAGTGCAATATTTGAGGAACTTTTCGTTCGTTTGCGTTGAATAATTATAGGCACATATTTATGCATTATTTCGTGTAAAATAGAGGACTTATCTATAAAACGATTCATCTTTTCAAAAAGTCTATTTAATTGTGAACGTTCATTGATTCGGAAGAACTTGCAACAATTTAATTAACTTATTTATATATATATATATATATATATATATATTATATATA